GGCAGATCGACTGAATATTTTACCCTCGATAATGGTTGTATTTCCGTTCTCTCGAATAAATATTCATTGCAATAAAACAGTTCATGGAAGTGTTATTGCAAATAGTTACTTCTGAATATTAATAAATAAGTGAAGTGAGGTCGGAATGTTTTTGCCGAGCGCTTTTTTGATACATTTATTTTTCAATTGTTTTTTATGCATTTATTGACTATCCTTCATATATTCACTATCCTTCTTCAATTAATTATAAATTACAATATTTATTACGATACTACCGTGCCAAAAATATCTACGAATTATTTAGAAATACAATTTAACGAATTAGAAGAATGAGTTGATTTGTTAAAAAAATTAAATTTAATTTAATAGTTTAAATATATAAAACATAGTATGGGGGACTGAGTACAGTAGTGACGGTAGTGGTAGCAGCTAAACTATACTGATTTTGAGATAGGGTCCAAAGGACTTGAACAAGTTCCATTTGCTTTCAGTCAGTAAGTTTTACAGTTTTTGCTTAGATAATTTAGCTCAGTCATAGTGATGATTTGTTTACGAAATTGTGCGTTGGGATAATGTATTTTTTGTTTTATTTTGGTGAAGATTAAACTGATAAAAAAATCTAACTTAAGACAAATATATGAAAAAGAATTGAAGGAAAAACTTATAATAAAAAGAAAAAATATTTTACGAAGAATTTTTGTTAACTTTGTTCTAAAAAAATATGTTTTGTTATATATTGTTAGAATTATTTTATTCAAAAGCTTTGTTTAAATGTTTATATTATTATTATTAACGACAATAAAAAACGTTATAATCTATTTTGGCATTCATACCTAATTTTTATGCCTCATCGAAAAAAGGGCGAGTGTCACAATTAGCCACACCCCCCGGGGACGGTTGGGACACTCGCCCTTTTTTATGATTTGATTTTATAATTTTAGAATTCCATGTTGACAAATCTTTAAATTACTATTTAATTTGCTTTTCTCCCAGCTATATGATAAATTAACAAAATTATGGCTGATAAAAAAAAAAACAGGCACAACCGTACCCAGTCTTCCCTATTTTTTATTATTAATATTATTATGAATATGAAGCTATTAGCTATTTAATATTGAATTTACATTTGTATTAGAATTAATTCAATATGTGTACAGTAATTTCCAAATGACGAAATTCCAACTTTAACATATCACGAAGAAGGGTTGTGTTGTTTTCTAAAATTAACTAAATTTGTTCTAAATGTTAATAAATAGATAAATATATATATATATATATATATATATATATTAATATATTACAAATTAATTATATTAAATAAGTTTAAGTAATTAATCCAAGAAGGTAAAATAATACGTCGAATTTTTTTCCTTTATTTGCTATGGGTTTTATTCTAAATAAAACTTATAGTATACCATTACCCATTTTTATTTTTGCGTCGGAGATTGTCTGTTTTATAAAATAATTATTTTGGTTTTACCTAATGTTTTGTGATTATGGTAAATACATTCCAATAAAAGCAGCAGCCGGAGAGTTGCGAAAACAAATTGTTCGTTATATTAGAAAAGCTTGAACTTTCTCTGCACGCGCCAAACTCATTACCAACAAACATAGAATGACCATACCAAAATAGAGTTTGAGTCATACGGAAATAGAAAATCCATATAAAATTCTGCCCGTTTTTTTGTATAGTTTTTAATAGTACTAAATTTGGAAAATAATATACAATACACCACTTCGAACAAGTCGGTACTTTAGTGTACTTCTTTTTCGGTCTATATCAACATTTATATTAGTTGTTGCTTGCAGTGCTCATCTGTTAACAGACTTTAATCTCGATGGGTCAGAGTGGTATTTACGGAATTATATTCTACTGCATCACATATATTCCATAGGTGGATGTATGGTACATGTGTGGTGGATTAGATTGACAGTTGGTCATACTACAAAACTGTAAATATTGCATAAATCCAATACATATCTCGGTATACACGTTTTACTCTTGACTGCTCTGTTACTTCAACAGTCTGTCAGTGTAAAAAACTTGGACTGCGCAACGAGTTAATAGGGTTCACAAATTAGATTATAAATGCATTCGTTATGGAAATGCGTCTAAGTTGCCGGACGACGCGGCAAAACCATGTGTACGGATTCATATTTTTATTTATATTAATTGAAAATTAGAGTCGGGGAGTTTTTGCACGACTGATACACTGGAAAATGTTATCTCATGTTGCGCGTATGAAGTTTTTTTTTATTTCATTTTTAATAATAATCAGATTTTAATTACCTTCTATGAGTTATTTTGATTTACATTAATTGAATATATAATTATAGATAGTAGTTACGCCAATGGGTAATTACTATTAGATACAATTTATTGAATCTTGACAATATAGTCTTGATAATTCTGGTGTAAGAAGCAGCGGAGCAACGAGTGAATTCGGGTGATTTTCTTATTTGTGATGATGATTAGTGGATGTTGTTTTTATAAAATCTTCAATATATAGCACATTCAGATTGTCATGCAGTTTTATTACTCACGTACCAGGGTGCACCTGTCATCATTCTGAGTAATCTACATTAGATTGCTAGATGACCAGATATGAATTATTATCGTTTCATAAACCAAAATTTTGAGCTAATAGAGCTTCCTAACTCTGGTTTTGATAGTTTTGATTATTATTGTGATGTGATGCTTCCATGTTAGTCTGCGGTCTAGATGCATATCTAGGTCTAAGCTAGAAAAGTTTCTTACAGTTATTGGTATTTTTCAAACAAACAAACAAACAGAAATACAGTTCAATAATTTTGCACAAAGGTGCTACGCATAGGGGCGATATACGTATTAATTATTCTATAATATTGTCCTCACCAATGTGTAATAACTGAAATGAGATTATGACGTTATAAATATATGAGCAAAGCATTTGAATTAGTAAGTGGTATGTAAAAAATTCAATCAAAATTAAAATTAAAAACATTTTATTAGAATATGCTTTAAACCTAAAACCCAAATTATATTTATTGAAATTAAATCAAATTTTAAATAAAGATAGTATTTTTAAATAAAACTTTTAATAAAAATTAGTATGACTACTAAGTCAAGTTCTATGTGTATGTGGTTGGTTGAATACTAAATATATTATCTTATTTTTATGAAAGAATCTAATGTAAATTGCGTATCTCTTATTGTATAAAACTATATAATAATTTAATTCCAAGTTCTGTATGTTTAAATTCACAATTTTACTTAATTTAATTATCTTTGCAGGCACTCTCACAGTCAATGTCAGCGTGTTATTGTTGAGTCTAGCTTCGCCAGACGAGTCAAGTTTGGTGAGTATATATTTGTTATTAAACACTAATTGGCATATTTTATAAAGGTAGATATACATAACATTTAGATAAGCAATCAAATTCTTAAATCAGTAATAAGAGCTATACATGTTCTATATTGCTGTGATATATATATCTTTAACCTACAACTTGTAGGTGTTTCTAGAATGCTACACACTGATTATACCCTACCTGTTCAGATATTTTTATTAAGTTTTTGATTCAATGCTGATGAGGTATATTATTGCTAACGAAGGGCAGGTCTGTAACTGAACTTTGAGGGTCCGTCATTTTTGACGGAATTTTGACAAAATTTTTCCAAAAGTGTTCGAAAGATATTGGTTGGGAATTTTTATGATTTTTTTTTGACGGTAGATATGATAATTTTATAGATCATACTAAAATATTACGGTCCTATGACAAGTTGTTTAATTTTAAAAGTTCTTCAAAGATTCGGTAGAGGAATAGTAACAGCAACTATACATCTTTATTTTGTAGAAATATATTCCGAGTATCTCAAGATCAACCTTAAAAACTGTTACAACCAGTACCTAACTTCTTTATTTATTTACTTCAAACCTTATTGTTTAGTAATGCCCATCCTGATTTTTTCTACACTTCGTAAATTTACAAATCGTGCATCGTATTAAATATTTCTTTACAACGTAAATCCGAGCATTATCAATGCATTTGCTTTGAGCCGCGTAGCCGATCCATTAAAATATACATGGGGACTCGAAACCAAAACCCTTCTAATCCCAGATTGACCGTATCTTGCTGTATCGCGAATAACAGACGACCCCCATATTAAACAATACACGGAGATGAACAAATATTACATAGCATGATATATTTGGATTCATTTGTGACGATGTATATATACACTGAACATGCGGGCTTCTTGCGAATTGAATTTGCTCACAACTAATACGGTTATACCACAAACTGTGGTATAACCGACATCGTATATGGAATAATCTTAGTTGCAGCTTCCGCGAGCCGGTACATGGATTCATATAACATATATTGGGTTCTGTATTAGTAAACGTTTTTGTGGTTTATTAACCCTACATTGTTGTCTTTTGATCCATCCATCCGTTTTGGATGACCTATTTAGATCAAGGTGGTGTGATTTAAACAAGTTTATTGATAGTCGCAAGCAAAACTTCGTCTTTATATAAACATAACTGGCTAATTAATGGATGGCTTTCAGCGTAAATCAGGTTATTCAATGATATGCTATTAAGGGGGTTGTTCTTTTTTCGTTACAAAAAATGCAAGGTATTCGTTTTTGTTGTTTCTCGAAATGTATTTATCATAGAGACATGCGGTTTAAACAAAATTTACAAAATCATAGAATATTACGTGATTTTCTTCTTTTTTTTTGCGCCGTCATTTTTTAACCAGGGGGCGCCAAAGTCGGTCTTGCAAAATCGATCTCTTTTGCGGTGCCACAGATAAATCCGTTGCGCATCGCCCGAAACAAAAAAAAAGAAACTACGTTGAAGAAGAAGTTTGAATCCAGTCCCCCTACCAAAATGAAAGAAAAAAAGCAAGAAGGAAAAAAATGGCAGCTATTTAAAAAAAAGTGTCAAAAAGGCCTTTTTTTGGGGCGAGAACCTTCGCAAAATTTTTTGCGTAATGTTATCAAGTTGTTTGAGGTAGGGGGACTCGGTATTGCAGTGGTGAACAAATGAAAATGACTTGTAGTTTTTGTTTAATTTGTGGCACCGCATTGAAAAAAGTCAATTTGAGAAAAACGTATTTAAAGTTTTTAATATAATGTACTAAATACACCATTTAATTTAATGTACTAAATACACCATGGTGTTCAAAGATGCTGACACATTAAAAAGGTCATGTGCATGAGGTATTATAATGAAAAAGAGAGCAGCTGGCATACAATAGCTCGCGGAGCGATAAAAAAACGGTTTCAGAGGATCATACATATAGAGATATATATATAACTTCGTCAAAAAAATAGATATTGAGATGATTTTTTTTTAAATGATTCTAAGGTTTTTATCTTTCATAATATCAAAAAATCTTAAAACCGAATCATAGAAAAATAAAAAAAGAACAACCCCCTTAACGCTTTCGGTACAGATGTCGTCTCTGGACGGCATTCACATGACGTGCTGTGTGTACGAATGTCGTTCCTGGACGACTTAAGGTCAAGCCGAAACGAGGTGATAGTATTGACCTTAACTGTCCTAAAAAAAATGAAAAAAAATCTCACCACAAAATTATGAGCATTAAAGTGGAACTCAGAGCTGTGGTAAAATTATAACCGTTTTTTGCTTATTGTGGTTAACTTTTATTAATTTTGTTACATTTAAACTTTGAAACCGTAAGCATATATAACATTTCTAAGACGACAATCGAAAAGAATAACACAATAGCCCCAAAATTTTAAGAATTAAGACTTTTTGTCGAACTATGAATTTAAAGTTTTTGAAATCAGTCGACTTTGAAAGGGCCTTCTTAAAAAAATTCACCAAAATGTGTTAACATGTTTTATCAAAAGTTGACGCATTTGATCGGTATTGTAACATGGTAAAAACTTGATAATTTGACAAAAAATATGAAAACATGAAATGATAAATATATTTTACAGACAGTTACATGAAACCAGAAATTGTTATGTGAATATTGCGTTATTGCAGGTATATTAATCAGTTTTATCACAGTTCGACACACACATGTATATATATATATATATATATATATATATATATATATATATATATATGGGTCTTAAAATCCACGAACCATAACATAATCCCTCGTGACTTGGTATATTTAGGACACAAATTTATATTTCTATGATATGTTTAGGCTGGGTTTGTAAAAGGGTTTATCAAAGGGTTGATTATTATATACATGTTGCGATAAATTATTTTGATACGAATGAATAATCAAGTTCGTCTCAACCTTCTGAATAATTTATTTATGTTTTATAGGTCGTATTCTAAATTTTATTCTACTATTATTACATAGTAATTAAAATAAATATTCATTTGTAAGGTAATTTAAGTATGAAAATTAAACAACGTTTGAGAAAATAAAATGCGCGCCATGCAAGAGTGTAGAGATTGGGCTGAGTTCATATAGGAGGAGTAAATATCATACTGATTTTTCTGGGTCCAAATCTTGTCGACGTTTTATTTTTGTAATATTACTTTGCATAAATATTAAAGAAATCACTTATTTTAATAATTACCATTAAAGAGTGTTTCAGATAAATTCGTTTGTTTATAATTATTATTTTGTTATACAAGTGAATATACACTTGTAGTGTATAGATACGCAAAGATCCAATTTGACTTTGAGCAATTATATTGTGAAAACCAAACCAAATACATCACAACAAATACCACATATAGAACAAACAACTATCTGACTATGTTCAGTAAAATCCTAGCTAATTCATAAATGTCGAAATGTGTTTTTTTTACTGATTTCAAAAATTTATTATCTGGTTATTTATACTTCATAGGAGGTAAAATGGGACGGCCAGGGGGTAAACAGATTTAGTGTCTTATTTTTAATTTTAAAGGAATTTCAAGAAAAAATATTTAACCGATGCGTAATAATAAATTTATAGGTACATTTTTTTTTCAAAAATTGCATCGTATATAAACTGGATCTGGTATTTTGTCAGAAATATTCATCAGCAGAGTTATTAGAATAACTAATGATTTAACTTATTACTTTTTTGTAAATTTTTTTTTCAACTTAATTTACTTTTTATGTACTATTTTTGTTGTCAGGGTAAAGGTTCAGTTGTACTTTTATATCCCACCCACGTGTAAGCTTTTATAGAGGTTATATAAAAAACTGTTGAATCTAACTTTAAATTAACAAAACATCTTATAAAACCATTAAGTTATTATGTATACATTAAAATTATATTAAGGTCTTGTAAACTAAACAACAGTGCTCATAACCAAAAAATTAACGAAAGAAAATGGTTTTGTTATGGGTTTTCAAACATTGTTTTTTTATCTCCCGATAGCAAGGTCGTAAAAATCAAGGAATGGCTGGTTAAACATCTTTTTCCTTCTACTTTCAAATATTGTTGTTAAAAATTTTCTACCTGCCCTTTAAACCTCGCTCTAGCCTATATGCTGTTGAATAATACTTATTATAATTTGTTAAATCGTGTATTTCAATTTGGTATAGTGCAGTCAAACTAATTTCGTGAAAATTGTTTTCCTATTTTCCTCCAAACGTTGAGAGATGTGTACACAACGGTCATGAATAATATATTTTGCAATGAAAACGTGGTTGCATAGCGCTCAGCCAATCCTCCGAGCTCCGACGGATAGAGATGACTTGTATCGGACAGTTAGCCATGCAATATTGTTGATTGCACACATTTATAAAGAGAATCGAATAATCAAATTTGGCTAGTTTTGTTCAATTTTATTTGGTATTTAATAAACAGTATCATTACGCTTAATACGGGGAAAGTAGAACGCAAAGCTAAATAGCGCTAAACGGCGCTTAACATGTGAATAATGAAATTAGGGTAAGATGGATTATAAATTGGCTTGGAAAAAATTTAGAATATTTATCAACGTTGCATATATTTTAATAAAAATACAATCAAATATTTATTTCACACACAAATAAAAATAATATAAACGAAAATACTTATGTATCATAACATTTACGACTCTAAGTCGGAACATTTAGTCTATTATGCCAAAAGGCATATAATATATTTTACGATTTTCTCTGTCGATTTTTTGATTCCGATTTTAACTTGATGTTTTCAAGAAGTTATTGATAAGTGATAATAACACCTCTTGCTTTTGAACGCATGATATTTTTTAACAAATTAATTCATATTTTTAGTCATAGTTTTTAGCGACCATCATTGAAAGTTCCTTTTGTTCTTCTTCGAAATGATTACTATCAATATTTTTACTTTATTCTTGTTTAGAATTAGTTAATTGGTATAGGTCATTATTAGACTAGCTGCTGATTCTTCG